AAATGAAGCTGGAGATTGCCTTTTCCATCTCATTGAAGAATGAAATTGGTATTTGTGATAGGTTAATTTTTAAAATTTTTTAATCTTTTTTTTCATTTGTCTACCAATGTAAACAACTGAACATGAGCTCTTTTTTTAGTCCCTTAGATTTTAAGACAAATACCTAAATTATGTTTCACTCTCCTTTGAGTCTTAGAATGAACTGAGTTCCAAAGTTGAGCTGCTTAAAGAAAAGGAAGAAAAAATTAAGGAGCTACAGAAAAGCATAGACTCACAGAGGTCAGAAACTATAAAAATGGACTTCTCATACTCAGCGGTAAAAATCAAGTTTATTTTGGTGTATAATTTGTTGACACAGTATACTCGTCACTGTAGCAAAACTCCCCCCAAACTATTTCACTTAATTTTCTCAGTATCCTTATCAGATAGACTAGTATTATTGATAGGTTCCTAACATTGCCATTTACCAGTGAGGAGACAGTCATACATGGTTAAGGTTATCATTCTGTGGTTTCATGTATAGGAGTTAGAAACCAAGCTGTATTAAAAACTGTAATTTAAGGCCTTTTAAAGACTTTTCCAAATATTTTTCAATATTTTTATATAAAATATTGGAAGAATTGTTCTCAAAAACAATGTATTTGAACTTTGTAAATAAACTAGTATAAAATTTAAAATATATATTAATGTGTTTTCTTTATAATTTAAATCACTATTTGAACTCTTTGGTAAGTTTATCAGAAAACAACTAAAGATTATATTATTTAGTATAAAATCTTACCATTAGATAACATTGACTTTCATGATGAAATTGTTAATCTGTTTTCAATTTGCTTTCAAACTACCTGATTATTACAACAGAGTGTGATTTTAGCTATTACTTAAGCAATATTTTAAAATATGAATATGTTGTCATTGTTTTGTTTTCATTTGAGTTTTTATTCATTTATCTGCCAAGAGCATGTTGTTAAATTCAGTTTAAAGACTAAGGTTTGCTTTGATCCAAGTTGCTATGATATTTTCAGTTACTTGATGTGTATCTTAGACTGTGAATAAAGATGACAGAAAAAGTAATTCCTTTTTTATTGTGGTGCTAGAGAAAAGTACTAACTATCCCATCAGGGTTCCTTAATATTACTGAGCAAATAAAAATTAAAAATA